TTAATAGCAAACAAGTTACACCCAACCACATTTGCGAACAAGTCATTGAGGTTCTCCGTGGTCGATATTAGGAGTCATGGGCAATAGCTGGGTGCAGTGGTGTACACCTGTAATCCCACGTACTCAGGAGGCTGACATAGGAAGACAACATGTTTGAAGAAGTCTGGGAAACTTAGTGAGACCCTGTCTCAGAATAAAAAAAAAATAAAAATAACTGGGGGTGTAGCTCAATGATAGAGTGTTTCTGCATTCAAGCCTTATTATTGGAAAAAGTAAAGGACTGGAGATATAGCCCAGTGGTAGAACAGTTACTTGGCGTGTACAAAGCCCTGGGTTCAATTCCCAGTACTKCAGCAGAGAATCATTTCTAATACACTAAACATAGTAGATCTGCAGAACTTAAACTCCAGCTTTTTTAATGTATGTTAATTTCAAGGAGATGCATGTAGACATGGAGGGATAAGGGAGGATATAAAATGACAACAAAACTTGTATAAAATTGGTCTCTCATTTATGCATTTACAACCTAATTCACAAGCTCTAATGTTCCAGCTAAACAGATGTACTGAGTTTATCTCTATAATGGACCATACTGCTTTTGCACAGTTGAATTCCCTGAGCTGTTTTTGCAGAATGTTTTGAAGTTACAGATTTTTTTAAAGATCATGATTAGTAAACAACTCATATATTTAACATTTTTCTGCTTTTAGCTGTCCCTGAACTCTTTTTCAGAAATCTATCTGGTAACACGTGAAATGCATCTTTATCCCTATTCAATCTGGTATAGTAGCTCAATAAAGATTGTAATTCTGAAAYAACAGCTGTACTTCCTCTTAAGAGACTATATTTTTATTGGAAATTACCACTAACTCCAGCTCCTTTGCCTATGCAATGGACACTGCCACTGATTGATTTTCTTTTTCACAAGGTTTATGGGCCTTTTCCTAATTTATTTTTAATCAGAGCATAAAAATGTTCTCAGTATCTTTTAATGAATTCACCTTTTCATTGTTAGCAAGTGGAGGAATAGCAGCTTTTCAAAGATAAAGCAGTTAATCATATGCAATTCAACATTATCCATCATTATGAATTTGTAKAAATGCACAATCAACTTACAGGCTGTGCAGCTTATTTAAGGAAGCAGTTGGGATGCAAAGGTGCTTAACATATTTGTAACTGTTGCTATCTGCTGCATGTTTATAGAACTAGGAAAAGCTTACTAACCATATGGATAATTCTATTTATCTTGTTTTGTTGTTGGTTGTACTCCAAAACTTACTGAAATTTGCCTACCTGGAGGAAGAATTCAGAAAGCCAATCCATACTCAAACCAACATCCTCAAAAATAATTCTTCAACCTATAGGAAACTTTATTTATGTTTTTCCACTCTAACTTATTATAAAAGATACTTGGTAGGGACATTACAAAAAATTCCTCTTTGGTTTATTGAGTTTCACATCATTGGGGGGACAATTGTACTAACAGTTATATTTTAGATTGTAATCTAATAAATATAATATTGCAGTTAACTCCATGTTTGATTTAGTTAAGTTTTTGGCATTCATTCATTCATTAAGCTGGTCATTATGTATTCATTAAACATCTAATGTATACAAGACACTGAAATGCAGGCAAGAGGACTATRAAGATAAATAGAATGTCTTGTACTTAAAAACTTCAAGTGAAGTCAARTGAAGAAAATATAATTACAGTGTGTCAATAAGTACTATAATAAATATATATTGAGAAGCCTAGAAGATAGTCCCATGTCCCAGCAAACACTTCTTGAAAGGAATGAGAACAAAGCAAGAGACGGAGAATGGACAGCAATTTGCCACAGAAAAACACAGTGTGGGTGCAGAAATAATGGCTTTGGTCATAAAGCCATCCCAGGAATTCAAGGGGCAGAAACAAAGGTGAAGAAACAGAAAAGTCTTTTTTTTTTTTTTTTTTACAGGACTAAAACCAATGTAGAGTAACTAGAGAATTACATGTAAGAAGTGAGAATCAGGAGGTGAGAACTGAGCATGGATGGGAGCCAGATGGGAGCCTATGGTTTACATCTTAAAGAACTAAGGCCTTTTAAACTGTGAGTATTAAGGAGTTAAGGGAATATTTGAAAATGGAGATTATGTGGTCATATTTTCATGGCAGTGATCATTTGAGTATGGGTGCAAGTATGTCTGTCATATATTTGAAAGGGACAAAACTGGAAAAAGAAAAATCTGCAATGAGATTCCTATACTTCAGGTGAGAAATAAGGGCCTAATCTTGGTAACAAACTAGACTAATCTCTCTAGGTGAGAGGAGATTTTCACTTCTAGAAATATTTAGGAGGTAAAATTCATAGGACTTGATTATAGTTGAACACGAGAAGTGAGAAAAAGGAAGAAAACAAAACATTTTAAAAGTCTCTGTGTATGTCTAGGTGGTTGCTGAGGCCTCAACAGGAATAAGAATATGAGAGGCCAAGAAGTTTAAGTGTAAAATGAACTCAAGTTTGGGCATGATGAGAGTTGTATTCCTGTTGCACACAGAGAATGGTCTAGTATACACTTAGTTATACAAATCTGAAGTTCAAGATGGATAATATAGATTTTTGTGAGTCATCTGCATATGGGTGATTGTTGAAAGTATGCTCAAACAAATTGGAAAGTGAAGAAATGAAATGAGAACAGGTTAATTATATCTGACTTCTATTTCTAGTCAATGCTTATATTTCTCAACATCCTCTGGAGAAATCAACTGCCATAGAGTGAGTGTGGCCAAACTATCCCAGGAAGAGAAATCACATGAACAGACTCACAAGTAGAAAAATGAAGCCCACATTTCACAGCATAAACCACCCAACATGCAAGTGCAGCACACAGGCTCCAGRTGATTTCAGCCTTTCACCTAGTGGATGCCTCAGACATCATGGAGCAAAGACAAAACCTTGGCTTCAATAACACGTTTACTGCTAAATCAAATGAACACCTTTCAAGCTCTAATCTTACTTAGTCCTTTGATACTATTAACAAATTYTCTATCTTTAAGTATTGCCTTTCTCTGGTAAGTGTACTACTGGGTTCTGATCTTTCCTTGCCTCCTTCCAGGAACTCCTATCAGTCACCACTGAGGGCTCCTCCACCCATTCCTTTCCTTAGGGCTTTGTTCTATGCCTTTTCTGGGCCAGTGGTCCTTAATAAGGAGTACTGAAATCTGTCCAAGTGATCTTATTCACTTTCATGGCTTCAATTAGTTCCTATATGCTAGTATTACATATATATTTAGCCTTGATATCTCTTTTATATATCTGACAAATATATCAAACCACTAACCAAGYTCTAGAAATACCCTCTGGTTTGCACCAAAATTAATGTATCATCTGTTCTTTCATATCTATTTTTTTTGTTTTCTTCATCTCAGTAAAGAAGATCAACATTTCTGAGTTTCTAACTCAGAAACATAGGATAAAACTTAATCTCCTTTTCCTCCTTCACTACCAATTCCCGTATCACGATATAGTTATTCAATTCTGTTGGTTCCATTTAATCAGTACCCTTCTCTTGAATTCCAATGCCACCATGCCACATTAACTCTTTAAAGGGTTACTATAATAGTTTTCTAATTTTTCTCACATTCCACAGTGCTTTCCCCCACAATCTATTCTCCACATTATAACCAGAATATTTCTGCAGTAAAAATCTGAGCATCCTTTTCCTGTATACCTTTAACTAACTGATCACTTGCCCAAAGATCAGTTTGAACTCCTAATAACAAATATATCTTTGCCTTCAACTTTACAAACTCCCCTCAACATAATTTTATCCCCATGTCTCTTTCACGTCTTGGTCTAAAATTCTATCCCAACTATTTGTATCCCCTTTCCTCTACTAATGAATGAATTAAAAGTTCTGTGACAAATATATAGCTACAGATAACATTGGGAGCCCTTATAWGAAAGTGAGAGAGAGAAGGGGGAGGGGGGAATGCTTCCAAAGGCTTACAGGCCAGGTTAGAAGTGAGACAGTGGAGAGGAAGGAGCTATACACATCATTGTTTGTTTTGGCATTGCTGGAGCTTGAATACAGGGCTCTTTACGTGCTAGGCAAATGCTCTACCCTTGAGCCACATCTCTAGCCAAGACTAGCCTTTTATTAATTAAATGAGAATAGACAGAATGAAGCTCAATGAAAGATCTAACATCAAGTGGGAATCGAAAGTAAGGTGTTATTAAGAGCTATAAATATTAAGGTGAAATTGTCACAGGTCTATGTTGACACACATAACTCTCCTGTTCAATACAAAGTTGATCTTGCAAGAGACTACCAATTCCCTTATTATTTCATTCTCTATGAGGACAGTAGTCTCAAATAAAGAATGAAATAAATATTCCATTTTGAGAATCAAGGAATTAATCAGCTGGGTTTAAAGAAGAGAGCAGAGAGGATATTAAATAACGAAGCACAGACGTTCTTTAGAATATAATGAATTCATAGGTTAAATCATTAGTAAAGATTGTATATGAAAGTGAGAGTTAAAATATACTACTTCTTATCAGACTCTAAAATTAGCCCAAGTCTTTTCACTGCTAATGAATATTTTCAGTTCCTGAAATAACATCACTGAACAAAGAAGAAGTCCTAACATCTCTCAGACATCACTACTTTCTCTAGTGATAAGTAGTTTYGTTGCAGTAAGGCTATTTCCTCAGAAAATCAGTTTGGGGAAGAAATTCTGATCTTGAGGTATCTTATGAATCTTAACTCTGACATTCACTTTTGCCTTGTTGATAAAACTGAGCTTATACCAAAAGACAATGAGCCATTATTGCTGGAAACMTGCTGGGTTTGAGATCCACTAGGGGAGAATAATAAATGTTCTTTTCTGAGCATTGCTTTGAGGACCCTTTAGAACTCTTATTGATGTCAGATACAGAATCATCCCAACTACACTGCATTTTGAAACAACATGCTCCTTTTTTTTTTAAATAACAAAAGGTAGTTTTTCTTCTTACCTTGCTGTACAAAGGATCCATACACAAACCACATGGAGTTGTAGAGTGTAGTAGATGCCATTGATCCCATTTGTAACCGTGGAGGATTAAGCCAGTTCAAGAGGTAGACCAGTAGACCCACCAGAAGGACTGTTCCAGCAATGCAGGCCCACAGAGAGAGATCAAACGGAGCCAGACAGGCAAACATATCCACAGTCTTTTCAGCCCTTCGGAGTAGAACCCCCACSGAGTAGTCCATGTACCGTGTTGTGAAGTCCACCACATTCTCACGGTCCGGGGTGATGGTTAAAGCAGAAATCCCTATGTCAGCTCTCTGAGAAATTGAAAGAAAAGGGAATATATTAGTAGTGTGAAAACAACTTGATTTGTAGCACTTCAGCTTGCCTTCAGGAAAAAAAAAATAGATGCCTCAGGCAACACCTTGAGACTTTTTTATATAAACTGAAAACGTACAGAGATTTCTCATGGAAGAGCTACGTGTGAATTTTGCATTTCTCACCACAAATCCTACCCCACCAGATGCAAACAAATTACCTTGTTCATATTATCAGTGCATGTGAAATCAGMAAATACCTCAGACACAGGTAATATATGAAGAAAATTGCCTTCTTTTCCTTGAATCATTTTATCAAAGCYATCATTGACACAGTAGAAAGAAAAACATACACAAGTATTCCAAGAAAATGCTTCYAAAATATTAACTATGTTGTTAACTTGTGAATTACTAGGTAGGTTATTTAAAAGCWTCAATGTGACATTTTACCTTTGGTTTAAATATCTCTGAATAAAAATTTATATTATTGGGCTCTTATATAATAGAGTTTGTTAGAACTTTTACTGCATTGTTATATASTGTCAGATGCCAGAGTCTCAACCAGAATTCTGTTGTATAAGCTTCAAAAGCATTTCAATGACAATTAATGATTAAGAAGGCAGATAATTTTTCCTGGAGCTATAACCCCTTTTCTCAGTATGTGTCTCTTCAGAGTCTCAGTGATTGCACTTACAACTATAGCACATGCTATTTTAATTATTTAAAACTCATCACAGAATTTCAGTAAAGCACAGAATAAATGACTTCACATTTACATTCTATGATATAAGAATACATATTTAAATATCTAAAAGATGCATCTTGAAATAATAATCTGTGGCTGTGATTAAAGCTGTGGGAAGCCCCCTTCCAGACAAATACAAACACTAGTAAGTTACATGTTGAAGTTTCTAGTTATTTTTCTTTCTTATGTTTTATGAAAAAGAATAGAAATTTATTTTATAGCTTTTGAAGATCAAGAAAAATGTAAAGAAAAATAACATGTCAAATGTAATAATAAACCAGCTTAAGATTCATCTGGTCTTGGAAATAATAATGCTCTTAATATTATAGCTCAAATTAAACAGTGAGTGGTGTGTGCAAAGCTCAGTGTTAAGTATTCAAATAGTTGTTTTTTCACTGAATTCTTACAATGAGCTATAAATTATGTATTTTCTCCATTTTATAGGCTGASATACTAAAAATTGGAAGAAATTAAATTATCTGTTCAATTCTCAGTTAGTAAACACAGAGGTGAATTAAAGTGGTCTTCTTACTTGGAAGATTGTATTCATGACTGTTTTATCATATWGCAAGATATCATTCATTTTCCAAAAGACCCATATTGGAGGAGGTCAATGTAACAAGTTTCAGGATAAATTTTTTTCTTATGAGAGATTGAAATTTTGCATTTTTAAAAAAATGAACTTCTTAATTGCTGTAAGGCCATATTTATATATGAACTACAAGTTCAGAATTACTAAACAAATTGGTATTAAGCTTACTAATTCTACATGAAAATTTGATTTGTAGAAAAATAATTGATATTGTTTCCAAACTCACATTTTATGTTTTTATAGCTACATAGTGGRAATTGGGTCTTTTCAGAATGAATATGGTACCTGGATATTTAGCTTTCCACTCCTGTCTCTTCTGAGCTTCAATTTATCTATTTGTGAAATTAATGTAACTGTTCAGCAACACTATTGTGAACTGACCATTTATCTTGATCTTAATGGCAAATAAATAACTCTCCAAGATTCAATTAGGCTCTCAGAAGGTGCATTTACTTTTTCAGGATGGTAAAGTACTACGGATCAGTAATTTACTAATTGGTGCACTAGTGACCCAAAGCATTTAATGACTCAATCCAAAGTCAAAAACTTCTACCTAAGGAGCAATTTACTGACATGTGGATTGAATATTTGTAAAAYGTTTGTAAATATTTTGCTAATAAGTAATTGTTCTATATTTAAGTGATTATACCGTGGAACATTTCCTCCATTGATTTTAGTAATGGATAATGAATATTTCTAGGTATCATAAAGTGAATTTCTATAATGTAAGAAAAATAACTAGAGATTTCTTCATTTACCAAGGACAAAAGAAAAGTTTATGTTGTTTACACTTAATTATTGTTACAGTTTGGATGTAAGGTGTCCCCCCAAAGCTCATGTGTGAGACAATGTAAGACGGTTCAGAGGCGAAATGATTGGATTCTAAGTGCCTTAACCCAGTCAGTGAATTTATCCTCTGACAGGGATTAACTGAGTGGTAACTGAAGGTAGGTAGGGTGTGGCTGGAGGAAGTAAGCATGGGGGACATGGCTTTGGGGTACATATTTTGTATATTGCTAGTAGAGTCTCTCTCTCTCTGCTTTCTGGCCATCATGTGAGTCACTTCCCTCTCCCACWCTCTTCCACCATGTTGTTCAGCTTCACCACAAGCCCCAAGGAATGGAGCCCACTGTCTAYGGACTAAGACCTCTGAAACCAGGAGCCTTTAAATAAACTTTTCCTCCTCTGCAATTGTTCTGGTYGGGTCTTTTAGTGATAGCAGTGAAAAAGCTGACTAAAATAATTATTAATAAATGTAACAAGTTAGTTGCCATTTATCTACAGAGAAATCCTAAATTCAAGGTCACATTCAGCTCCAATATTCTCAAGGAAAAATTGCCACCCTCCCTGTGGAGGGTATATCAGAATCACATAATGAACCTCATACATGCGCGCGCGCGCACATACACACGCAACATAAACACGCATTTTCCTGTCTCCAAGGTTTGCATATACCTTCCTAAGGAGGTGCCTCACTATAACTTTCAAAATCAATGATATAGCAGACATTTCTAACTGAAATGAATGTGATCATCCTTACTCTAATAGAGATGCTGTACTAGAGCACACACACACACACACACACACACACACACACACACGCAAAGCCAAAAGAGTACAGATTCAGAAGGCTGGTCCTAAAACTTCCTACATATTTATGAATATAATCAGTAGTTACCAGAGATGATGGCTCATTCTTACCTGTCTTATTTATTGAGCTACTTGGTCAACATGCCTGTCCACTTTCTATAATGATTTTCAAATCTTCACCCTAAAGAAACCCTTAATCTTCTCAGCACCCACACCAACTTTCAGAACATGACCTACACTGCTATGTGGTAGGCAACACAGAAGATCTAAGATTAAAATTCACACTAATTTCTACCTCTCCACCTATGCTCCATACCCAACCTATTCTTTTCAAACACCTTTTTACAAAAGAGGGACTATCCTCTTTTCTATCTAAGRCCTACCCTCATCAGTAAACTTATCAACTGATTTATCAACTGATCTTTTATTTCARATATGTAAATTCCTCTTCATGTATTCAACATCATCCTATCGGCTGTATATTMCAAAAGAGTTAACTCTTTTTCATTAAAACAAAGGGGAGAAAAGCCCTTCACTCAATTCCCTATCACTTCTGACTCCCAGTGAATATGGTTTCTTTTCTTCTTYTTTTTTTTYCTCAGAGTCAGTTTTCTCTGAAAATTTGTCTCCATTTCACACATCCAAGTCACTCTGAAAAAAAAAACACTTTCGTACCCATATTATTGGACAGTCTTACTCATGGAAAYGGAGCTTTTGAAACTTTGCATTGCCAAATTAAGTGGAGGCAATTCAGTGCTCATCTTATTAGGCCTTTCCATAGTATTTGACATTGATGATTGCTTTTCCCTGGAGATTTATGACTTGACATAAATATCCTTTTCAATTCTTCTTTCAAAGTCATTAGTATCCTCTGGACTTGGGCCTATACCCTTTTCTCACTTGAGATCCTCTGCTGAGGCAATCCATGCATACTTGTTACTTCCATTGTCCTCCTCTGAATACCTTATTTATAAATTTTAATTTATAGATCTGCATCTAAGCTTTGGACTCTATATGTGCTTATTCAACTACATATTTTCCATTTCTCTTAAATCTCTCCAACATACCTCATATTTTACAYATGATATCTTATCAGTCCTCTTTCAATGACTTCTACTTCAATGAATGGCATCTTCTTATATAAGTCATTAAGTTTTGTGGTCTCACTATCTTCCCCAGCCTTATTACCCTACCTAATCTCTCACTGATTTTACCTTCTGAAAATCCCCAAATCCATTCTCTGTTTTATTGTCTCTAGTTCTCATCCTTGATTTCCTGGGTTCCATTTCCCCATGGGTTTACATGAAATCAACCTTTCTTCCTCTTCATTGTCTCTACTACTCTACCACAAAGTTATCATTCTATGGAGCAAATCTGAACCTGTCCTGCCACACTTTTAAGATTTTCAGTGGATTTACATTGTTCTGTGGAAAAGGAAAAGATCTTTATATCATCTACACATATTTAAACAGAGTAACCCCCTCCAGCAAATTCTTAGTGTGCCATTTTCTTCCTGGCACTTCTTCCTGATACATTATGTATGCCAAATATTTAATGTAAAATAATTATTTAAATTTTCCATTGAATAGGAAAATCTGGTATTTGGAAACTAGCACTAAAACTAAAATATAAATAAGTTTAATTTTTTTTTTTACAATCTCAGTGGAAACCTTGTTTCAATTTGTTTTAATTAGTTATACATGACAGAATGCATTTTGACACATTTTATACAAATTGAGCACAACTTTTCATTCCTCTGGCTGTACATGGTGTGGAGTCACACTGGTCACGCAATCATACATGCATATAGGGTAATAATATCCATCTAATTCCCAATCCTTTCTACCCTCCCTGCCCTTTCCGCTTCCCTCATTCTCCTCTGCCAGATCCAAATTTCCAGATCCATTGTTCGCTACTCCCATCTCCCATTAYGGATCAGCATCCACTTATCAGAGAAAATATCCAGCCTTTAGTTTTTTGGGTTTGGCTTATTTAGCTTAGCACAATATTCTTTAGCTTCATCCTTTTGCCTGCTAATGCCATAATTTCATTATTCTTTAAGGCTGAGTAATA